ATCTCTCATTAGTGTAAGCTCTTGGGGAAACTTTTTTTCCCAAACAATTACCGGTCTGTTCGATAAACAGTTGACGATATCTCGCCGACTCGCGCAAATTTTAATTTCGTCGAGAGTCGTTCATTTCGGCTGTTCGTCAAACTTATAGCGAACGAACGTGTCGCGAGCCACCTCGTTATCATTGAGAAAAAATATGTAGGAAGGAGCACGAGTGCCCGTGACGTGATTGTGATTGCCTTACTGGCATCATGTCTTCATGCGACTGATGGAATTCGTGAAACTACGAGTGCGCTGGTCGCCGACCTTTCTGTTGATTTCGCAGTGCTGACTGTGCAACACTTTGCATCAAGAGATGTACGCTAGAAATGCACATACATTAAAATTGAGATATTATCAGGTAAAATCATAAACTAGCACCAAGATTTGAGTTTTATTTTTGTATAAACAATTTGAGAATGTCTATCACAAATTATCATTTTTGATAATTACACAAGTAGTTCTTTAAAAAGTGTGTTACGCAAATATTTTAATAAACTTTTTAGATTATTGTTATTTATCTTACAAAAGAGGATACAGTGAACTCGTCACGAATTTTAATTTCTTTCAACATAGTGAATCTACATTGATAAGTTGTGTCCAAACGTTTAATTGAATTGGTTTTCTAAATAGTATTATTTAATGCATGGAAGAATCTCGCATTAATTACAATATATAGAAAATTATATCTCGGTTAAAATTAATTAGTTTTTATGTGTAATGTAACTCATAATGTGATGAGCAAGAAATGTCACAAAGCTTAATAATAGATAATCATTGAGCTGTGGTGTATTAAAGGTGTAAAACTTGTACTCTTTCACAAAGCATCATAGTCTTAATTGTGTCTACGATATCTTTTCACCATAACATTAAAAAATTTAAGTTGAAGAACTGATTGTTGATTTACCTCGCTTCGATGAGAATATTTCTAAGATCATCGAAATAGGCATTCAATATGTAGAGGAAAGACTCCTCGGTATTATAAGATACCAAGTTTATTTTGGGTAAATGTTAGAAATCTATGGGCAGAATTTTAAAACATAATAGATCATTTTGAAGAGAATTTAATAAGCTTTAAGATAATATTGTGTAAAATTTAATTCAAATTTTATTTTTTTTTTATAAATTAGAGAAATGTAAAAGTGAGCAAATCGCAAAAAATTGTGCTTTTAATATGAGATGTCCTGAGAAATCGATAAATCGCAAAGTACATCAGTATTGCAATTAAAAAACTTTATTTAATGTTTCTAAAATACAAATAAACACAGCCAGTGCACGTGCAAAATGAATATACAATGCATTGTACTTAGCTGACTCGTCTTCAGGTTGGAATTAGATCGCAGAAACAGGAAACTCAATGTTTATTTTGATTGTCCTTTTTATTATTGTACATAACATTTATACTTCAGCAACAATTTTCACTGTAACATGAGAGCATAGGTTATTTCATATTAGAAATACCTTGGGTATCTCATATTATGATTTCCACACATTTACGGTTTTACATCATCAAATCTAACTTCTGTAATTAAGTAATTCAACATATCACATATTTTTCTATTAATACGTTCTTACTCTATCATGAAAAATTTATTGCCAAATATTTACTTATTAAATAATAAACAAAGTTTAAAAACTCATCTCAACGAAAACTTGAAGATATCCAAATTCTAATCTTTTTTTGCAACTACTACAAGCACGATCTAATAATGAATTTTCCACTAAATAGTTTTCAATCAAAGCACAATAAATTCATGGTGGAACAAATAGATATAGCATTAATTAGTTTAGCGGAAACGCCGCTATCTCATATTAGGCATTTATCTCACAATAGATTTCTTCTATATCTATTCTTCTATCTCGTGATGCCAAAGTGACAAAAGTGTCGAAATGTTTACTTATTAACTATTCAAAGAATATATTATAATTTTTCTAAAAGAAATTTAAGTGTACTGTTAACTGCACTGACTTTTTATTATCCATTTTCCAATTATCTAATTCGTTTAAAATTTCTCTCTCTCTAGGGTCTCTATCAACCTCATGTAAAAAATACTATTTTCACAAGATTCAAAGCGCTCGGATACGATACAACTTATTTTCTATGTAAACTACGTTGGAAAGAGATAAAAATCGTAACGAGTCCATTGAGTTCTCTCTTTGTCAGTTGTAAATGTAATTGTAAGCTAAAGTAAAATAAATATAAATTCCCTTTCTATTCTGTATTTTTTATACACAATGCAAAATGACAGCTGTTATGTACCATGCATATGCATCGATATACAGTTGAAAGCAACCTCTTGTTTGACATCATGTTCGCTCTTTTTTTTATCTGTTATATTATTCTATAAAGTAAAATGTCGCGATAATGCCATGGGAGCAATCCAACACTCATGCCGACAACGAGGGATTCGCGCTTTCGCTAACAACCGGCATTGCGTTTATTCGCGATAACTTTGTCGATTATCTCGATACACAGTTGACAAAGCGAGAAATTAAAGCTCGCCGGATGCAGGTATGTAGATCCTGAGTGGATCCCAGCGGAAATTTGCTGCGTCGTGCTACATATTTATGGAAATTTAATGTGTTACACATCTAGTGCGCACGCGGACTACCGCAACCGCTTTGACCACTGCGACTATCACTCGAACGAGCAGCCCGCAATTCATCTGTCGGCCAACAACTTGCAACACGTTCATCCACGATAAATTCGACGATTGCTCGGGAGCACGTTGGTTCCCGAGGAAATTAAAACTTGGCCAATTCAACTGCCCGGTTTGGACAGTTGGCTTTATTAACCGTTGGCCACAGAGAGAAAGAAAGTCGCTAGAGGAACGAGGCTAATGAGAGATACAGCAAGAGCCGAGTGTAGCGAATAAACCACCCTCGTCGAAATATGACGAGCGTACGCCGCTCTCTCTCTCCAGGGTAATCTTAATTCTCAAACTGTTGCCTCTCCTCTGACGCGACGCGCAAGCAACGCGCCGAGTTTTGATCAATGTCCGACGCGGATGGATGAAAAATTCATCGCCGCAACGCGCAATTCACCCTCGGGGCACTTTATTAGAATACCTGTTTGTCAGGACTTGCAACCGCAGTCACGCTCAATTTGTCAGCCTTAACGAACTGATTTCTCATGTCAGTACTCTCTCGAGGCCAATTATCAATGATTTTTCTTCATTTTACTCGCTCTTCCTTTTTAAACGCCTCGCATATATCACAAATGCCTAATAAAAATATTCTTGAATATTTTTTCCTTTCAGAATTGTAGAATATTGTATTTTAGATCTTGTAGATTTTCATTTATTCATGATCATTTATATTATCGTTTGATTATTATACCTTTGACACACTGTTTCGAAATATTATCATATGACACAAAATTAGAGAAGAGAAGAAAGAGAGACAAATAAGCAGAAACAAAATATGTAACGCGTGTCAGATATTTACTCTCGTAAACAAAATTATTCAGAGCTAACGCAATGTCACAATGACACTTGATAATGAATTAAAAATCATGTATAGGAGCTATTGTCCCGTTATTTTCATCGCGTATTAGCGAGTTATAAATTCTCGTAAATATTTCAGTGGTCAATAACCGTTCAACTGCCGCGAAATTGTACCGAATAAACGGACGCTCCGCAATCGTTTGCATTGATTTACTTTAGCGATATTATCAATTACAGTTCAACATATGCCTCTCATTTGGTTAATCATTATGTACATAATTCAGTCACCGTATTCTGTACATAAGCCAACAAATACTGGCCCACCTTTGAAGTTTTATGTTTTTGCATATTAAATATTAAATGAAGCGAAATATCAAGTAAATAATTATATTTTTTTAGTGAACGATAGAATTTCTTTTGAATCTTATGAGTAAATTATTGATTTATCTGTAAGGACATAAACTATAGAAAATTTCTTTTGATTTCAGAAAAATTATTTATTGAAAATTATTTTTCTAAAAATGCTTATATATATATATCTCTTTCGCTTTCTAGTTTATTCTCGCTCCGAAGAACCCATCTCTGTCCAGTTTAGGGCTGAGCAGTCGGCTATCATCCGTCGCAATTGAGAGATGTCGAGAGAATAATTACCGAAATAATTAAGAAAAATAGAAGAAGAGTGGCATGCTTACTCGTACCTGACGCCCAATTTGAGTTAGAGAAATTTCGCGATAATTCGGTACATATTTTTCGATTTTCAGAAAGACCGAGATAAAACAGTCATCATCTGAGAGATTATTGAGTAACGTTTGTAATAAGACGAAGTTGTGTCGTCAGTCGAGACTACACAAATTTGAGCATTTAGATGTAATTATTTTTTTATACACGCGAGATTGAAATGTTATGTATGACTATTACAAAGGAAATTAAAGTTGTATTATGGATATTACATTCATTGAAGATTTCGAGCAAAATTTTATTCGTAACGTCTACGAAATACGAATGTTTGGAGAAAAGATTGTTTTGTATGAAAAAAATAAAAAAAAAAAGGAAAAAAGAAAGAAAAATCTTTGCCTCTCATAATTCGGAATCGCAAGATGACGCAACGAGAGAGAAAATCTCAATGTCCCGCACGAGTTGGACAGGACCGTGCTTACGCTGATGTGAATTAGGATAGAACGCAGTCCGCGGAAAAGCACAAGCGCTTGCGCTAAAAGCCATGGCCCGCGAGGGGGGTTGAAAGAGGGTAAGAGCTCGCGCTGGGGTAGGGAGGAGGTTCGTGTTGGAAGCTTCTACGGGAAACGGAGAATCTGCGAGTGTCAGTGCAATTCGCGACGCGATGCCCTTCGCTCCCCCGGTCCGTGCTTAAAGGGTAGTGAAGAGGGCTCGCCAACTACTCCCGTCGTGTCATCGTCGGGGAGAGAGAACGACGGGGAGGCTACCCTCTGTGCGCGACAAGTTCCAAGGAAATCAAAGTCTTGATTCATGTAAAGCTGCAGGCGGTCACAATCCGGAGCAATCGTGACGAGCAAATAATCGCGTGATTAATCCGTCGTTCCTACGGGAAATGACGGAGAAATGTGTTAGATGTGAGTGACAATTGTAGAATTAAATCCGTTTACTTTCGAAATGAATTCGTTGATCAATTCGACGACTTTTGTTATCGGTCAATGAGCATTCGGTTATCAATTATTTATGATAATCGTGCAGATCGATGTGATACTCCAATACTATCGCGCGAGTTCTTGTCGGTACGTCGCGTCGGTGGTTTCTATCGCGAGATTGAAAATTATGCAAACATAATTTCTGCACACTGTGCAATTCATGCCAAAGAAACGCCGGCGTCCGATCGTGCGTTCGCCATTATCGGAAAACAAGTGGCGAGGTGCTCGAAGTAAATTTAAGATACGACGCATCTCTCCTGCAACCCCGTCCCTCATCCCGTGTCAAACCTACTCGACCAACTCTCTTTCGCTTCCTTTCCTTTTCTGTTCGCCAACTTCTCGCGTAACTTCTCGCTTAAATTACGTTAGAAACTCGATTTGCGACGTGCGATAATAATGATTGAAAAGTTTGGCAGTAGTTATCGATTAAATTTAAAATGCAATATTTTGAAGCTTCTATCAGCTTTTTTTTTCTAATATGTATTCTCTAATTTCTGTTCTCTAAGATGCTATGTTATCTCTTTTCTAATTTCTCTCTCTATTATCTAATTTTCACGGTTTCATGATTGGAATCTCGGTATCATAAAATTAATCAAATATATGAAACGAGACATTTATAATTTCTGACTTCTAATATCAATAAAATAAAAATATTACACTGAAAAATAAAATATTTTATTTGAAATATAATACATTCATAGTCTTTCATGCCACGTGACGGAACTTTGCTAACTCAATGTCTTTTCTTTGCATCTAGTGCGTCTCACAGTTTCAATGAAAGTTACTGGCCAAATTACATTCAAGACTTGATTCAGTGGGGATAATAATAATGATCGGAAGCTCTTATAGCAATTATAAACGGGAACTTAGCGTGGGCGAAAGTTCGTAACCCCGTTCGCATTCTGTTATCAGAATTCCGATCTCGGGAACAAACGAGGAGTGACAATTAAATATGTCTGCTCCGCCTTAGTCCAACTCGTATGTATTCGCAAATCGATATTTAACACACATTTGAATACATTATTGTTAAAAATGAAATTTAATTTAAAGGCACCGTTAAACAATTTTCTCAGTCAATAAAATTTTATACCAAATAAAAACAAATTAATTTGTAAAGTAAACGTTGTGAAAATAATTTGTAAATAATGATCAACTCGGGACTAAAGAGAATTAAAATCGATAGTTCAAAATCGAATATGGATCGTGTTAATCCTGATATAATTACGCAAGATTGGAATGTGCTGTTCACGATTGAAAGTATTATTAGTTCATAGTGAACAATTTGGAGAGAAACAAAAGGATTATTAAAAGTATACAATGGATAGAGACTAATTGATAAAATATTAGCGAAATTCAGTGTAAATGTATACATAACGAGAACGTGATTAATTAATCAACATGAGGGCACATACGAAAGTTCCTCGCTGATGTTGACCAACGATATACGATTGGACAAACTTTAACGTGAGTACATACATATGTAAGATATTTTTTACATTCTCTTTTTTTTAAATTCGAACGATTTATAAGATTGAAATGTTATAAGATTGAAATTATAAACTAGATTATTTTGTTGAACATTATTTAATATTGAAATTTTCATTCGTGTAAAATTATTGTTGTATAACCGGATTAAATTTATCATTCATTATTTTCTGTAATTGTCTATTTCTTTATTTTCCCTATAATATCTGTTTTTTTTCGTAAACTGAATACAATAATCACAACTAATTTGGATTAGTATTGTATATCCCTGATAACGTATTTGCTAATTAATGGGAGTAGTAGTTGACTATACGGGCGTTGCCTTAATTTTCTCCTTCGTCTTAATTCTCCATGGTAATTCGCGCTCATATCTTACGTCGTTAGACCAACATTGTAATAATGTTAAATTGCGTGTGACATTGTAAGCAGCATCTGAATGTCGTTCCTTCTAAGATTAAGTGAAAACGCACTTATAATTTTGTGCATTTTACGAATCAAAACGCGACCACAAATAATTGATTTCAATTATTAATCTGTTTAATCGGTTTAATTTACGTCATTGATTATTCATATTGATCTTTTATTCATCATATGTTGTACAATTAATTTGCTACGGCAGGATAGCTGATTACATTCGCTTGTTTTGAAGGATAATATACTATATGATACACACAGAAAAAAAAGTTCCAATTTATGCAATCTCGTTAATAACCTGCGTCATCGGTCCGAATAAACTGGTAACTCTTTGTTATGTACTTTATTTGTTAACTCGATCGATATTAAGCAATTATTCATTACACTAACCATGCTGGCATGAATATAATCATTTTTCATCAGAAAACTACTACGCCACTAATATGTGACGATAAATATGTAGATTTAACAATGTTTTTGCATATATTTGATTTAATATTGAATATGAAATATTCCTGTTACAAAATTTATTTCAAAATTATTTATTAATATACTTAATATTATCACATAACGTTATTGCATAACGTAATTAATGATCGTTTACTTGTTAATATCCAAAATAGAATTTATATCGGATCAATCAAGCCGATTAAACTGATGTACTATTTCTTTTTTTATTTTTATTTAATAATCGTATTAATTTTTGTTTAACGGATACATATATGTGGGATGTAATTTTTTTTATTTTATACTAATTTTTGGCAACACAATAGATATAAAGAGAAAGAGAGAAATTTTATTTTCTAAAATGTAAAACCTTGCAATGTGTCCTGTCGGAAACGGTTTAATTAGTCAAAGTTAAAGATTGTTTTGTCGTGAAGCCCAGTATTATCTTGTTTTCGTTGGAAAATCGTTAACGTCCAAGTGAAATACAGCGAAATGCACTAGCGTCGAAAAAGCCGCTTGCAAGCACCGTGTCAGCATTCCATTCCGTATTTTGCTGGATCTTGCTCGATAAGCAATACCATCATCGTTGAAAATCCTAGGCACATAAAATCGTGGAAGTGTCTGATAAGAAGAATATTTATATCATCTGTTTTATTATTTTTAGCTTTATGGAAAATAAATTTTAGTACATTATTATTTTATTCACATTAAATTTTAGCACCAGATATTGTCTAAAAATCTTAAACGTGTTAAGAATTTTTCTTGAAATGAAATATGACAATCTATCTGAAATGGAATAATAAGTAAAGTAATTAATTAATTGCAAAATTGTACAAAATAGTTAAACAAAATGTCAGGTTCAAAATCGAATAAACGCCTCTGTATGTTAGGTATTTAGCACGCAGAATCGATTTGCAAAATTGGTTTTTCATACGAACAAATGAGAGCTCTAGAGACGAGTTAATTGCCTCTTTCTCTCAAGGGAACTATTACTAATCAATAATCGGTCGAAACAATGGTTTTAATATGCTTGTATGCATATAACAACACACTATATTGCGATGTTTCTCGAATTAAAAATGAAGGGAGTAGGTAAAAATTATGCTCTTTTCAAAATACTCTAAATATATAAAATTAGCAGGTATATATTAGATATTTTTTAAATAAAATATAGATTGCAATGTAAAATACATGATGTTAATAATTAAAATGTGTGAAAATAGTATATGGCAAATGCTAAGGAACACTAATATTAAGCAAACAAGTATGGATTAATTAGACAAATATTATTAGTTCTTCTATAATACTTATATTAGAACACAACAATCTATTGAATTGTATTCCACTAAACTTTCAATTAAATTTATTCAAAAAGAAATGTCGATCGCGATCGTTCAGCATCATCATGAATTATTCATTGCGACAACACATCGAGAGCATAAACTTCTCTAGTTTTCCATTTATATTAAGCGTTATACAAACTCAGCGCCAAATGTCAAAACTCAAACGATTCGCGCGAGCTTGCAATTAATAAACTTTCCTGAAAGAATTTCATTGATAGAGCCTAAAAAAATAATTTATTCGTCATACGTTTGTTTTAATGCACATTTTTTCGCAAAATCATTGTATATTCAGTTATGACAAGACAAGTATTATTCTTTTAAAATACCTACGTAAATCGTCAAAAAAATCCATAGAATTTAGAAAAATGTAAGTAAATAATGCAATTTTATAAAAATTTTACTTTACCAGTGGATTACTTTTAATATTATATGAATATCATTATGCCGTGACAATTTTTTCAAAATTTAAAATTTAAAAGCAAAAAATAATAAATGTTATAGTTGTTTTATAGACATCAACTTGTTTCCATTTGTTACTGCATTTGGATATTCTGAATTATAAGAATATCTTCTTTAGAATATTTCCTATGTGCGTTACTACGGAGATCGCGTTCTTACTAATATCGGTTATTGAGCTTAGCAAAGCTTGTCAGTGGATCAGCCTTTGCAAGTGTCAGTGCGATTGCGTGATCTAAACTGTTTCAGTAATGGAATTTGTGATACGGTACGTTGCTCTGCGATACAGGCACTGTAATGAGCCAGTTCCTCACCAGAATGTCAAAGGTCTCTCAACGTTACAGCAGAAGACTGTTCTAACTTTGATAGTTATAACATTTCTTGACGTGTATTCGCGGGATATGACAGACGACGAATCATAGAATTAAACGCCATTAAGGTCTGGCCGGAAATAAATAGCAAATATCGTCAGGCTGACCGAACTGGCGATATTGTGGAACCGGCATGTTAGTTAATCACTCGCCGATGCATGTTCAACTGCGATAGCACTGTCTAGGAATTCAGGTCACTAAAGCCATAATGAAGCTTTGCAAGTTAATAGCAAAAGGGATTGATACCCCGTTACGCACAATTCGATCATCCTTAATTGTCTATGACTTTAAGTTTGGACGACTATTATACCGATTTTGACTAAATCGGTTTGATTAAAGTAATTCTCTTATTAAGTTTGAGAGAAATATTTTTAGTTCGTTAATTTTTATTTAATTGCTTAATATTAAA